TCCCCAAAGTTTCAGCCTCGTAGCTTTTGCCGGTCTCGAGATGAAAAATCGGTACAGACGCGCAGCACACAGACACACACACAAACACACACACATACACACACAGACAACCTTTCGTCGATATGCGCTTTTCGCATTGCATTGCTGCAAAAAACGCATAAAAAAGGTCAGCCATGGAGATGTTCACAATGAATTAGAAAAAGTTGTCAGATGTTTTGATGTTTTGAACTATTCAGAACCTCCGATTAAAGGATCGGTTTTTGTCAGCACTCTTTTCAAACACTGCTTCCTCAACGGAAAGCGTATTCATGTGCAGAAATTCAATTCGAGATTCGTAATTTTTAGGAATGCAGAACTTCAAGTAATGGGAATTGAAGAGAACCTGGATCAAAGTGGCTATATCGGTTTCCAGCGTTTCTACTTTCGGCTTCAGTGCGATGTATTCGTTTTCTCTGGCTGCTTGTCGAAGTTGTGAAACAAGCAACGGATAATCGGTGTGGAATGGAAGAAGTTGCGTCGGTAGCAGGATGATCGGCATTTCGAGTATCGAAACAGTGATAACTTTGCCCGGCTCTTCAAATTTCAATCCATGCGGCGTTTCGTGCGACCCTGTAACCCCATGTTTTTTCATCGTAATTCTCTAAAACAAACACATATCACCTTTCAGCAATAAAACTGCAACTGACGAAGGCTTCCTTTTTGTCTGTTGTTATGGATACGGGCATACTTCCTTCCTGTGTACATTGAAAAATACATTGACAGATTGTTGACTGGGAAAACGTAACTAGACTGGCGATGTAGCAAAAAAAGAGGGAAATCGACATGGACCCAGCGGATTACCGAATGGTAGTCATGCAATTTGAAGAGCAAATATGAGATACTTTAGTCTGCCGTAATCGCACAAACCCCGCCACGAATATGCACTTCCGCAGTTTAACTGACTTCAACTTCTTGCCAAGAGACAGATGCATTTTCAGTGTATACAATAAGACCTTAAAGTACCCATTCGCCGTAAATCACGGAGCGTGTCCTGATAGTGATATGGACCAAACGGTGCAAGAAGGTGTCATTATATCGCAACTTCTTCGTTATGCACGTATAGGCCCTCTTCCAGAGGGATCCCATCACTGGACTAGACAGTTTACAAGTATCTATAGACGAAAAAAGTTTGATATTGCCAAACCAAAACGGCTCGCCCTCAGATTTTGCTTCAGGAACCGATCAGTACTAAGCAAATTCATCTTCCCTGATGATTCAGAAATTAAACGCCTAGTCAGCAGTTTATTCTCATAAAAAGCTCTTACTAGTAATTACATATAATGATTACGTGTTAACTTACCTTTTTTCCTTCCTCTCCCACTTCATTTGCTCCTTTACTTATATCATTTCTTTCTGTTTATCCGTCTTGCAAATTAGTTACATGACTATTCAAAACATTGCGGGCAAAAGACTGTACTGATGATTCTTGCTCCTACCCGCACGCATAGTTCGGTCTGTGTATACAGCTAAGGGATGTCCGGTCTGTGTATATAGCTAAAATTGTCTTCATACACATGACATTCAGATGAAATCCTTCCATTCTTCTATTTCTTGCCAGCAGTTCTACATGGAGAAGTGTACAACAATTTGCTAATTCTTTTGATTCAAGAAAAATTTTGTGCGATTTTTTGCAAACTGCAGTAGAAATCCCGCTATCTTTGCTTCGCAAAAACAGAATTTCACAAC